TCACTTTCCTTTAATTCAATGTTGTTTTTGTTTGGGTTTTCATAATAAATGTGTTTGTCATGTTTTCTACAGTTTGATTTGTTTTATGCATGATGTTAGCCTAATGTTTGGCACGTGCAAGCTTTGTAGCTTCAGTAGGAGGTTTGCAGCATTCCTTAGAGAAATGTCCTGTTTTTCTACAATTGAAACATTTTGCTTTTGTTGGATTGAACAGATTTGGCAGATTGAATTTCCTCTGCTTATTGGCTTTATACATTGTATTAATGTGTGCATTATTCTTTGTCTGATCATTGGAATCTTGTGCTCGTTTAGCACAGTAATTGTTGTAGGCATTCTACAATGTAAGGATTAGTTGCTTCAGTTCAACTTTCTTATGTTCATTGACTGGTTTGCCTTCATTTTGGGCATCAGTAGATTGTATTATTGTATTTACTATGTGTGTATATTGCTCAGGAGTAGTAAGCAATATTGCTACTTTGTATGTAGAGTTGTGTAGTGGATCACTGTTAGCAGACAGAGTTGTGTATGCTTCCTCAAGTCTGTCTAATGTATGTCTGAAATGTTTTACATAGTCTCTACAAATAAACAGTGCTGATTTGTTGATAGCCTTTTTATGTACTGTCTGAGGGTTAAAGCATTCTTCAAGTGCTTTCATTAACTGAGGGATAGATGTATTGAAGTGTATATAGTTTGCCAATATTGTGTCAGCAATGTTATTGACTATGCATGTATGAATAGCCTTAGCCATCTCCCTCTCAGCTTTGTTCTGTGGTTCATCCTTTAGTAAGTGTTCAAAGCACATAGCTGTAACACTAGAAACAATACAGTAGTGCCACATCTTGTAGTTTGCTTTGGTCTTAAGCATTGTAATGTTTTGACCAAAGTATTTAGGTACATTGGCTGGTTTACAGTGTGTATCTGTACATGGGGGAACCATGATGCAAATGTGTACAAATGTATGCAAGTAAAGAGTTTAGAGTGTACAGTGGATGCATATATGCAGGGAGCTCAAGGCTCATAACCTGTTGAGAGGGAGAACTTAAGGGGGGCACACATAGACAAGGGGTGAGGTGACGATTGACTGCTCAGTGTCTCTCGTCCTTATATTGTATGTATTCTAACTGAGACATTATGAAGTCATCGTCTCGTGGTTCGTCCGTTGATGAACTAATCATCTCATAATAGATACATTGAAGGCGGAAAGGGATTTACGCCGACATACCATCCGACGAAGACGGGCTTATGCAGATTGAATGCTTTCATGACCGCTGCGAAGTCGTCAGCGAAGAGCTTTGAAGCATATCCTTCCTCTGTTTCTGGCTTGTCGCTTCGTCCGTGTGCTCTCATATCATAGCGAACCTCCAAGCAAAAAGCGATAAGTTCCTTGTAAGTAGACTACACCGCGCAACGCACCAGATAAAATTGCTCGGTGTATCGCCTGTCCGTGAAGATCTTATCAAATACGACACCACTCAGAGCTTGCCCATGGACGAAGACGATACTTGGTTTGCTCGGATCTCCAAAGGCATCTGCATATATCTTTGTGCCATCCGAGGAATCGAGAATCTTTGAGCTAGGAGGGAACTGCGACATGATGCTTGAACGCCTTACTGGATACACGGGCGTCGTTAATTCTCATAATTCAGGTATATATTTATACGGCGTTGCAATATGCTCGGATACCTCGGACGTAGAATGGCAAAATCCTAAAGATCGAAAAGAGTTACGGCGGCCTCATCAGCGCGAGGCACAGTTGTACTGTGTTTGTACATAGCCAATGAGTTCGTTTCTCGTCATGCCGCAAAGGTGCAGTGCTGTTCCTGAAAGGAACTGGAAATTCCCGTTAATACAAACCGAAAATATACGTAAGACAGCACGACAGTCAACCACCCCTGCATGTAATGAATGCCTCAATAAGGCTTTAACAGTACTGCATACTTATTCAAATATTCCAAGTTAACCGTTTGAGTGCAAGTTACTACACTTTGCAGCAATTGTATGTTGAATCCGTCTCGACGAATCAATGCCATGGGTCAAGATACACACTTCGCCTTGAAGCAACCGAGACCCTCTGTTGTTTGCGTGCATTCCGACTGATGCTCTATTAGAGCCGAGTATGCTTCCAGTGCTATTATCGAAAAGAGAATTATAGCAGGCGAGTCGTAGGCAAAATGGGACGAACACAAAAAACTTGGCTGGGTTTTCTGATATATTGGATCACGTAATACAGCTATATACGGCATATTCCATGACACGTTCTCAATCAATCATAATCAAAGTCAAAGTGACAATTAACATTGCCTGCAATCAGGCTTGGACTGAGAGGGCGCTAATGTGCAATGCAATCGGCATTGCATGTATTCCCTATGTTCAAACGCCGTTGGTCAAATCACTAGACGGAAGAGATGACATGGTTTTGTTAGATCAGACAATCAGATCCCCACAGAGAATTACGTGCAACGAACATACTTTCCATGGCCATTGACGCTTCGAGCGAATTCTATAATCTTATCCATCGTTTCACCTTGGTTCTCGAAAAAGACACAATGACTTCCACCCTTCTCAATTAAGTGGACTTCCATATTCTTGAAATAAGGACGCATTTCATCGGCAACGACGTTGCTCATTATCTGCCTGTCGTACTTTCCACCGAGAATGAATAACGGAAGTCCTTGTTTTCCCAGCTCGAAAAATCGTGATGGGTCTTGTTCGCGGGATAAAGAGAGTTGGACGTGTATAGGACGCCGTAGTGCAGTCATGCCAAACCACAATACTCGTAATTCCCATGGAATCTTTGTAGCATCTGAAAAAAGCGAGTCGACATATTCGCGCGTAGCAGACAAGGTTGTCGCAACGGAATCTTCGGAAGTGAGATTCGGGATCATACTGAGTATTTCGGGCGTTGCAACTCGTTGGATGATCGGACCGATGTAGGGAATACCGCAGAGGTAGACAATAAGAGCAAGAGGATTGTCGGAGAAGTTAGCAGCGATATCGACAGGGATAGTCGCTTCAGAGGCATACGTCTTTATTAGTCTCTCTTGTCATGCCCAACTGAAATACAAACCTCCGAGACTCCTGAAGAATAGGCGTTCTGTTAGTACGTGATCATGCAGGAGGAAGAATATCATGTAGACGTACCATCCGACGAAAACGGGTTTATGTAGGTTGAATGCTTTCATGACGGCTACGAAATCGTCCGCAAAGAGCTTTGATGTGTAACCCTCCTTTATAACTGGCTTGTCGCTTCGTCCATGCGCTCTCATATCGTACCTGACCTTCAAATCAACGAAATGGTAAGTATCTTGTGAGTACACCACATTAATAAGATGGACCAGGTAAAAGTTTTCCGTGTACCGCTTGTCCGAGAAGATCTTGTCAAATACAGCACCACTCAGGCCTTGCCCATGGACGAAGACTATACTCGGCTTGCTGGGGTCCCCAGAAGCATCCGCGTAGATCTTTGCTCCGTCGGAGGAGACAAGTATTTTCGAACTGGGAGGAAACTGCGACATGGTGTAGGAAAGCCTTGCTGGAATCACACATCTCGTTCAAGTTCTTTGTTCAGGCATTTATACACCAACACGATGGGTTCGGATGCCTCGGGCGCAGAATGACTATTCCAATGATTGAGGTTCCATGGTGGTCCTGTCAGAATAAGCGGTGGTTCGAGCAATAAATGCAAGTTGGAGCATAGCCGGTGCGTTTCATCCAGCCCGCTGTTAACGCTATGTCGGCAAAGTTCAATAGCAACCGCAATGCACACGAAACGGACTGGTAGTCACCGCCATTGAACATTGAAGATATCAACACTTCTTGCAGCATGGAAGATCCGTGCTCCGCCAATAATGTGAAGATTGAGCTATTTCAAAAAGCCGTTGTATGCATTACATACCTGGTTGATGGAATGTTCCGAGTCATTCATTAGAATATTGAACTCAGCTTACTGAACGCTCCAACTGTCCCATACTGAGATATTGATTTTATGGCCATTAGTATTGGCTTTTTCAGTGGTTTGAAGTGGGATGCGAATGTTGCAGAGTGTCCAAGATTTATCCGTTGCGTTGAATTCGAGGAGCATTAGTTAAGGTTGTTTGTGTTCTCAGTACAGTTGTCAACAAGATTTGGCTATATCAAGTAGAAAAGGGAGATCGTGCCAGGCGAATTGTGAGGAGAGAGTTACACTCATCACACGCATATGTCATAGTCAGGGTTTCCGATCCGAGGAATGCGGACCACGTGACGAATATTTACGGAACCGAAATAGACTGGATTTTTGGAACCTTGAAATATTCAAAGTTCATTTCCAACTTGTAGCTCTTCTAACTGACTTTATCTGTGCTGTATATAACGCATCATTTTATGTCCAGCCTTTCTCAGAAGACTGGATAATTTGGGCCTGACTGTAGGCTAATTCTGATTTCGACAAGGCATTTCTCATGGCAAATTGGCTTCAAAAGTATCTTTTTCTCCACTGCATCCGTCTTTACCCGTTTCTCCGCATATCAGAAGTCACAATGACAATCAAATTTGTTGTGATAACACACAAAACTCAAGACACATCAAATCAAGGTTGACGGTGACATCAAGAACTATTTGATTTTGATAAAGCTTTGATTGGAGGCAATACCAACCATCATTATGTATGGTACAACTGGATCTCTTCTGTCAAATCACTAGGAAAAAAAAAGGATCAACGAGGTTGAATCTCTACAGAGGCTTAAGTTAAATTTACATACATTTCCGTGGCCAATGACTCTCCGGGTGAAGTCTATAATCTTATCCATTGTTTCATCTTGGTTCTCGAAAAAAACTGCATGGCTTCCACCCTTCTCAATTAAATGAACTTCAATATTCTTGAAATATGGTCGCATCTCATCAGCGACGACGTTGCTCATTATTTGCCTATCGTGCTTTCCGCCAAGGACGACAAGCGGGAGACCCTGTTTTCCGAGTTCAAAAAATCGTGATGGGTCTTGTTGACGGGTTAATGAGAGTTGGCGGTGTAAAGGACGTTGTATCCCGGTCATGCCGAACCACAAGACTTGTAGTTCCCATGGAGTTTTCGCAGCATCTAGGAAAAGCGAATCGACAAACGCACGCGTTGTGGAGAGAGCTGTTGCAATGGAGTCTTCGGATGTGAGGCCCGGGACCATGCCGAGTACTTCGGGAGTTGCGACTTTTTGGATAATCGGGCCGACGTAGGGCAGCCCGGAGAGGTAGACAACACCGGCCAGAGGGTTTTCGGAGAAGTTAGCGGCTATGTCAACACAAATGGCCGCTGCAGGGACAGACGAACTTATTAGTGTCTTATGTCAGTTCCTGTGAAACACTCAAACCGACCTCCGAGACTCCTGTGGAATGATCACTATATAAGACCACGATATGCAGGGAAAGAAGAGTATTTTGCCGACGTACCATCCAACGAAAACGGGCTTGTACAGGTTGAATGCTTTCATGACGGCTGCAAAGTCGTCCGCGAAGAGGTTTGAAGTGTAACCTTCCTCTGTAGTTGGTTTGTCGCTCCGTCCGTGCGCTCTCATATCATATCGGACCTTCAAATAACGAAAAAAAATAAGTTCCTTGTGAACAGACAACGTTACTGGAGGAACGCACCAGATAAAAATGCTCTGTGTACCGCTTTTCCGAGAAAATCTTGTCAAATACAGCACCGCTCAGCCCTTGTCCATGGACGAAGATGATACTCGGCTTGCTCGGATCTCCAGAAGCATCTGCATAGATCTTTGTTCCATCGGAGGATACAAGTATTTTCGAGCTAGGAGGAAACTGCGACATGGTAGATAGGAAAGCCTTGCTAGAATCGCATATCTCATCCATGCTCTTCATCCAGACATTTATACGTAGTCACCGCGTCAGCTGCGGGTGCCTCGGGCGGAGAACGGCGAATTCTAATAATCAAAAAGGGCCACGGCGTTCTCATAAGCTTGAGCGGCGGTTCCGGTGATAAATGGAGGTTGGTGCATGGCCAGGTTTCACTCAGCTCGTTAGTGTAATGCACAGCACTGGTTACAACATTTAAAAATCAGGCTAGCACCTGTCAATGTACGTATACCAGCATTCCTACAGTGTAACCACCAATTATGTGGAAGGTTGGGTTATTGAAAAATTGCAATATATTACATACTCGTTTAAATATCTCCAGTCATCCATTGAGTACTGTGTGACTTACCCCACAGACTGGCTTGGTAACTGAAATAGGTTGTCTGTATTCGTCTGCTTGCAATTTGAGGGCCCTTTGTTAAGAAGCATTCCTGTTACAATGTATCTGTCAGCATTATTCTCGGCCACTTGCCAACGAAAGAGGAATTCATCTAGGTGAGGTGAATTGTAAACGACATGGTAACATGTGTTCCCTGAGGCTGACTCGAGAAAAAGGAATGCGATCCGCGGCCACGTGACCTAGCAAGTGACCTAACATCACATGGGGCATTTCACAATTCCTTACCTTAAAAAATAACTTACATAATGATAAACATTATTTGAAATTTATTTTCTCATTTTTGACTAGCAAAAATTATAAACAAAATTTAAAACTTTCTTTATACAAAAACTAGAAATTATTTTTAATATTTATCTATTTGTAATATCTTTAAATAAATGGAAATAATAATCTAAAACATAATTTCAAAACAAAATTAGAAA